GTAAAGTTCTTTATTCATTGCCTCTGCTCACAGAAGTTGATTGTTGATTGTGTTCACAAACCTATTACTTTGTAAAGGACACTGAAGGTAATATAGTACTGTCTTGAGGAACGTTCACTTTCATCACAGTTTTCATTATTTTTTTAACTTTAATCCAATACCAGTAAGTGTTATGTGGTAATTTGATTTCCAAAAGTACACCTATTTCTTTTGTTTGTCTTCCAGGGGCTACGAGAGGCGATTCAGGAGTTTGTGACCAAGGCAAGTATGCATGACTTTTGATTTATCAAGATCGTATTTTATTTGTAGGAGAGCTGATAGGCGAGAACAGCCATTTGTTAAGGTGTGTTCAAGTGATAAAGCCAAAATAAATGATCTCAAATGGGTGGCAGCTTCCTAGCTGGCAACATTCATATCACTTTCTACAACATTTTGCCAACAAATTTGAAATTAACAAAACATTTAATTAACATGACAGGAGTAGCTGGCTTCCTGGTACATTCTTCTATTTTATAGTGTATTTTACGGTATGTAGTTAAAAATGGAAATGGTTATTACAGGACAGGGGGTCAAGACTTTACAACGAAAAGAGTATCGCAGTTTTATACAAAAGTTGCAATTTGATGTAGCAATTATAGGGAACAGTTTGAATTTTCCATAAATTCCAGGCGGTACTTGGTACATTTTGATCCACAGACGTTTGGCTCCACCTTGTGATATGCTCACGACTAAGTAACTGCTGGTGGTGGAAGGGAGTAGGGAGACGAATCAAGCTACTGTACGGTATAACGCATACAATACAAAATATAAAGCAATGTATACAACATTTGACATGCAGTTTCCTCAGTTTTTATTGTATTTACATGTTTTGATAGGACTATTACTGGATCTAATATTTTTTGATTGGATGAAACAATAGTTGGGCTGGAAACTGTTGATTGGAGTGTGTTTTAATTAGTTTAAACTTTGATTTCTATGCTGGTATGTTGAACACTGGCTCCTACCAAGGTTCATGTTTAATCCTATAACAGCCTTAAGTGGCACTTGCTGCTGGGTAGCCTTGATAACCAATTACAATTCTGGCTTGTTGGTATTACACTATATAAGATGTCCTTTTCATGAAAACATAAAACTATATAATTAAATGTTAATTACCTTCTGTTTCCTTTGTTTTATTTCTAATGTTGTATGAGGATGAGGTCATATTTATAAAGAATATTATTCAAATGCTTAGGTACCACAGCTTGGTCAGTTCATTTCATAAAGTGTAATACTATGAAACTGGGAATCTACGTTATTGTAATTTTAGAACTAAATAGATCTGAACTTTTTTTCCGTTTTTGTTTGGAGATTAATGATGTTGCCTTTTACAAGAAATTAACCATAATTGATAAAGGTGTTTGATAGTCTTGGTTCAGGACCTTGGAGAGCACCAGATACATTAAGTGTTACATGTCTTGCTAAGACAAGACAGTCACACTGTTGCATAGACTGTGCCAGGGTAGTTTTCAGTTTCCATTTCAATTTTAAAAGCTTGATTTGAAGTTGCAAAAGCTCAAAAGAATTGTGTCCTAAAATAAGACTTTATTCTAAAAGCTCTGTGCAATTGTTTGCTTTGATGATGCAAAATGTCGTTGCGGAAATGTGAATAACCACCTTTTTAACTGACAAATTGGTTGGTACACAAGAAATAATAGTGCCAAAGATCTGATAACAGTTTTATTCCTGTGTAAACGAATATGAGGAAGGATTTTAAACTATTTGTTTTGTTGTTATGCTGTTGGTGTTTTTGTGAAGTTTTAGACTCTTAAATTTGGTTTGTAAAATGGGCAAAAATAGTTTGTTACGACATTAAATTCTATACTATGGTTGGTAGTTTAATAAAAGCTTTATTTTCCACATTTGCTTCTCAATATTAATCTCTGTTGCCTTTTGCAGTTAAGTGTTAAGGAATTCATGATTCCTTATTGGGATGTAAAGTTTTAACAGATTTTGGCATCGTGATAATTTTTCCCCCTTCAGTTGATTGCATGAGCCTTTACCACTTTTGTATGATTTAAAGGGGTAGTATGCAAAGGAAAGCAAGCTTATAACTTATCACACTTGAGCAGTCCTCTAACTATAGATTGATTGATGTTTGCACGGCTTTATTAAAAATGTGAACTTGGCTACTCTTGATCACAAAAAAGGCAACGCTGAAAATGTAATGAACCTCGGTAACAGTTTGAGTGTTATGCAATATGCTGTTATTTAAGAGACGTTTGAGAGGAAGTCAAATTCTAATTGCCCACTTCTGCTCTCCAGCATATAATTCAGGGGCCATCTTTTCTACAGTCCTCTCTCCTTCCCAGCTTCACCATTCCAACAGCTCCCTTAGCATTTCCTCATAAGTGAGGAGGGTTGCATTTCCTCAGCCAGGTGCATTAACGCCAAAGTGTTAACCAAGTTTGTCCTTCGAACTAAGGAACCAGTAATAGGTTTATTCCATACTGAAAAAAATAAGAAAGAAAACACGTTTCTGCCCTGGAGCCTTCTTCAGGTGTGTTTTCTCTCTTCTCTTTTCAGCATGGAATAAACCTATTACTTGTTCCTTTGCAGCGTACGCATGCTGACGCAGCTCCCCACCTGAACTACTAAGTCCTTCATATTAGTCTGCTTGTTGCATCGTTTTTAGAACTTGACCCGAGCTACTGAATTGTTGGTATGGTTTTTGAGTTTTGAGACTACTAAAATTCTGTGCTGTACTAAATTCTGTGTTGTCTTTGAGCAAAAGTCTTTTGAAGATTTATGTTCCCAAGTACAAGGTAAAATGTCTTCCCAGTTCCAGCAAGTCGGAATAAAACTGAACAATATTGTATTTGTCAAAATCATGATTCAGTGGTGCTGTACCTTTTATTTTGCTGCTGTGGTGTTTTCAAATGCACGTATACATTTCCTTTTGGTAGAGAAATCAAATTTGTGATTAATCATGGTACAAGATTCCTTAGTAGGTGCTGCTTAGCGTTGTTAATAAGGGGATCCTCCTTCTAGCTGTTGAGTTTAATTAAAATGGACACATCGTTACCTGTGATGTATTTTCACACCGTTTGTTGATCTGAACATGTGTAGAAGGTGATGCCACAATTATTATGGCAATTAATATATGGTAGCATCAGAAATTCTGATCCTTAAACCATTGGACATGTAACCCTCATCCCAGTGAGTCATGTTCAACTGCCTGTTATTGGACTCCCAACATTTTTTTCCCCTTAGTTTACCTCCACTTAGAAACAAATACCAATGTCAGCAAAATGATGTAATGTTGTGTAATACTGTTTCTTTATGAAGCCAATGGAAAATCTTTGTCCGAATACCTATGCATCTGCCTTGCACAATGACTGCCTTTCATACATGACAATGAGAAGGCCATTTACTTTTGAAAACTGTGCAGAAATCGTGCTTATCCTCGAGCTTTATAGATGAGAAATAATTGTTTGGGAGAATGCTACATGCTTTCAAACGCGTCTTTTATGATTAACCCATCTGTGAACTTGCTGTAACACATCACCACAATTTAAAGACATGTATCATGATGATAAGTGAAAATGAGATCAATTTAAAGAGTAATCCACAAATATTATAAAAAACGTGTTTAGTAATACAGAGACTGTGTGCAGGGAGTGTTGCTGCCTTATAAATGAATTTATAAACAGATGGCCGTCCTGTGCTGATCCTTCCGAACAGATTACTGTCTTTGGTTTTCCAGGGCAGTGTTTAATATCGAGGACTGTCTACAACTCTAAGAGCATTGACGTTGGAGCAGGAGAAATCCCATCTGCTCTAGCTGCTTCGCACTACAGACACTAACCGCACGTAGTCAGCCTCTCTGGCTAAATGGGATTAGTGCAGCAGTAAAGCTGCTGATCACTTGCATCAAGAAGGAACTGAGGCAGACAAAGCATCAGATGTTTTGCCTCGCGCATGGCGCAGTATGATGGACATTGGTTGTAACTTTTAAGATTTGTGGCCCTGCGTTTATATGTGGGTTTTGTGAAGAGACTTTTATTACAATGAGCATTCAAATACAGTATGTATTCAGCTGTTGCTTTGTGCTCCCTGGGTTGTTCTTTGAGGAGCCTATAATCATTTTACGCATTGTGCTCCTGTATGTGTTCTGTAATAAAGTTAGAAATATGATTTTTCATGGAATGAATCTTCTGAAGTAGAAATTATTCCAAACTGTTACAACGTTAAAAAAAAACCACAGAAACATGAATCTGCACATGCCCCCCTTTTGAATTTCTCTAAAGAGCCCAGCATAGAAAGGCATAATGAAAACATTTCCACTTCTGCATAGTTTTTATGAACTTTTTTTCCTTAAATTAATCACAGGCCTGTTCTATAGAAGTTTGTTTTTGATGTCCCTGACCCAAAGAGGGCCAGCATTCTTTAGATGATCAAACCCCCCTGACTTTGACTGATCCAATTTAAAGATCACTTCATCCAGAATTAGCTTGTTGTGGTTACCGTGCAAGGCACCATGGGAGTCCAGAGCTTATGCTGAATAGCAAACAGCAGGAGTATAAAACTGAGATTTCAGCTGAGTTCAGGCTAAGTACTTTAGGAGGCTTTAAAGAGCTTGGGTCTGTCCCACCTTGCACTAACTACAGTAAACATGGTTTTGGAAGATGAAGACTCTGTGTTTGAGATTGATATTGCTGTGAGTAATGATTTTTTTCCTTCTTCAAGTAGAAGGGCTAAAATGAAGTTTTTATGTGATATCTTAAGAATGTGATGAATAAATCGGACTAATGTTTTTTGTTGAAAAATGTAGGAATACTGTAGGCATGCAGCCATCCATTGAAATTGTCTGCTTCTTATGTTACTGCATTCTAAAACACCCAGACTGTACTGAAGGAATTTGATGTTTTGCACTAGTCTTTTGAATGGGTAATACTGAGTTATTGGGGAAACACTAATTAGGTAATATTTCTTTCTTTAACCAATAAGTCCTTGCATTTATGCAACGTTGTGGTAAGTTTTTTAATGTTATTGAAGAATAGGTTAGATCTTAAGCTTTTTTTTATTCTTTTGTCTTGTAATTAGATTTATTTCTTTAAATCAACTGCATCTTCACTGTGATGGTCAGTAAACAAGTGCTGGTGAATCAAAGTCAAATTCAGGAACGTGAGCAATATAAAGTTTTACTCCATTCTTTTACAATGTTAAACTACGGTAGCCTACAGTTGTTTGAAAGTAAACTATTCTAGAGTTGGAGAAGATCATTTTAACCAGTTTCAAGAAAAGGCGGCTGTCTCTAGAAACTTCAGACTTTTTGTGCTTTTGGTCGTCAGGAGTAACTGGTGGCAAGCGCAAGAATAATCCGGACAGATTAAGAGAAATGATCCTCTTGTGCCTAAAACTCTGTGGTAATGGATGCCACAACAATGGAATGCTTTAAGGTCTCCTATTGCACATGTGTACGACTGTATTTTGAGACCTTGAAATAAAAGATTGAAAACATATATGATATAGAACTGTGGAACAATAGGTTTTGATAAAATATACTCCTTATTCCCCATTTCTTTTAAATGGCACTAACTAAGGATAACAGAAGAGTGCTGTTACTTGTCTCAAGTATGCCAACAAAGACCTAACCTCTGTTTTAAATCTACAGGAACATGACATTGACACACCACACGGTCCCATCCATGTCACCATGCAAGGAGTCCCAAAAGGCAACAGGCCTGTCATCCTGACGTTTCATGACATTGGCCTGAACCGTAAGTACATCCTTCCGTTCATTTTCAAACTGCTTTTTCAAAATAGGGTCACAGGGAAGCCTATCTTGGCAAGCAACAGGCACAAGGCAGGACACCTGTCCATAACAGGCATACACACACACCAGGACCAATTTTCTCAGAAGTCTGTTAGCCTACCAGTATGTCTTTAGACTTAAGACTGTCTTTAGACTCTGGAAACCAGAGCACCCAGACAAACCCATTAGCACACAGGCAGCACCCCAAAACTGCAAGGCCGCAATGCTAACCACTGTGCTACTGTACCACCCTGAACTGTAGGTTAAGGGGTTAAAATATAGAATTATTTGGACATTTACATGACATTCTAAAGACACAAAAAATGTTTTAAATGGCATATTCTAATGAAAAAAATCAATTTGTACAACTTGTACCAAAGATTTATCAGATCCATTTTGGGATTATACTTTTCATTTATATCCTAGACCATTATTTCGATTATACAGTCGCTATTGATGTCATCACAATTGCATAAACATCCCTTGTTCTTATTTTGAAACCACTTCCAGTCTGGTTGCTTCATGAAGTGCTGTGCATTTATATTGCTGTAAACCTTTTTTTATAAGGGAAAATCCATTAATTTGTGCTGCTTTCCTTGTACAAATTAAAACATTTGGTGACTGTGTGTCCATGCAGAGCTGGGTTCCTTATTGCTTCTGAACCCCCAGTTACTAAAATGTGATTTTTTAAAAAATATATTTTATTTTTCACTTCTTTAAATTTGTTACTAGTGCTGCACCTTTCAAGGGCTTGGATGCAGGTTTTGCTGTGACAAAAACATTTTGGGTTTTCTAAGTGGACTCGCATTCCCCCCCCTGTATTCAGATAAGACGTGTTTCAACTCGCTCTTCAACTTTGAGGACATGCTGGAGATCACCCAGCACTTTGCAGTCTGCCATGTGGATGCTCCTGGACAGCAAGAGGGGGCCTCATCCCTTCCCACAGGGTGAGCCTCCTACTTCTTGAGGAATTCTTGAGATGGAGTGTAGTTCTGTACAGAAATAGTTTTTTGATATATGATTTTAGTAGACGGTCTGTGCTAGCCAGCATCTGTGTTAAGGCCTAAGAGTTCCCTTCGTTTTTTGAAAATGTAGGTCATGGTGTCAGACTTGTAAACAAGTTAGAATCTTTGATTACTTGGGCTAACAAAGAATGTCTTGTAAACCAATTATCCTTGTCACACTGACCTACTTTCAGTTCAGGACCGACAAAAGGAAGAATAGTTGCATCTTCCAGCTTCAGTCAAAGTCTTCTGAATGTTAAGCTGTTTTATTGAATGATGGCATTATAAGTTGAAATTGAAAAGCTAAATTTGACATGCACTAAAACGCTATAGTTTTTTTTTCTACATGAAAAATTATCTTAGCTTACCCATTTGGGAATAGGATATTAAGTGTAACAATTGATTTTGAACGTGTCAAAATGAACAGCGTTAACACTATAAATTCAAATACTGATGGTTTTCATTTTGCCGCATGCTTTAAATGACAATTTTAACACAAAATCTAAGCAACAAGTGGGTCATAACAGGGGCTACAGCTTTGAAATGCTCACTAAGTAATAATAAGAGGTTGACCAGAACTGAGAAATTTTCCAATGTTTTAATGACCATGGGGATATAGTCACTGCCACTCAGAATAATTAAACACAGATTTTATTTTGATTATAGAAAAGTCTCTGATGGATGTCTTCTGTAAAACTGTCTTGATGTAGAGCTTTATGAACTCAAATATGAATACGTGTTCCATAGGTACAACTATCCCTCTATGGACCAGCTCTCTGAAATGCTTCCAGTGGTTCTCAAACACTTAGGGTAAGGTTGTAATTCTAATGTCCATATTTTTAGGATTGAGTTCAGTATGATCTTCTCACTATCTAAAACAGACATTCTTAAACGTGCGATTTAGATTTGTTTTTGTTATCCATTATGTTAGTATATGAAGAGGAATCAGAAAGTCATTAAATATTATATAATGGGCTACTATAATGAGAATATTTTTACACGGAATAGTCTTCAGTTTTGAAAGCAATAGCATACAAATGTTCTTCTGTTTACCAGTCTGAAGAGCATCATTGGAATGGCCATTGGGGCTGGTGCATACATCCTGGCAAAATTTGCGGTGAGATTGTTTTTTTTCCCTCTCAAATCTTTTCCCCCCCCCTCTCCATCTTAATTATGAAAGATTAATTAAACCAGGATTACTTTGATCAAATACTTTATGCACATACCACAGTGTTGATGCTGGCAACATAATCCTTATTGTTGGCATTCCCTAAGTCTTTAGATTTCTTTCTGGAAAAGTAATGAACTTTACAGCACGGCTAGGTTTGTAACGTAATTCTTCATTTAGCTGTCTAAACTTCATCTCTAGAAGTCTCTCGAAGGTGTTGTGCAACTAGAAGGTATGAGAAATTCTTTCCATAATGATCATCTAAACAGAAGACAAAATGTGGAAAACATTAGCACAATAATTCTATATTCTTCCAATGTGGTTATATCAACTATTGTTGACAATTATATTGTAATTATGTTTTCAACCTAAATGACTCCCAGATGCCTTAATTGTACTCCTATATTTGTGATGTTCACTAATATTCTTAAACTTATAATTTCTGACATTTTTCTGCATTGGGAATGACAAGAGTCTAATGGGACTTAATGCTCATTTTCCTGGCTCTCTATTCCCATCTGTTTTGTTTTTTAGGCTGTGGAAAGATGATATATTTCTGCCCAAAACAATATGTAATTGAAATGGTCTCTGCACACGAGACAGAAGTTAACTTCTGCTTTAGAATTTCCCCAAGTTTTTGTGAATAATCTTGTGTACATCCCCAAATATTTTTACTTTGGTCTAAAGTAGGAAGTAAAAATCCAACAACTCTAAATCTGCCTTACTTTCAGAAAGTATAAATCATGTTTTAAACCTAATAGTATGCATTCTATAATATGATCTTCCTAATTGGTTTTCACTTTGATAATTGTATACTATAGTAAATGTCTGTATGTTGCAGCTGAACCATCCTGATTTGGTAGAGGGGCTGGTGCTGATCAACGTTAATCCTTGTGCAGAAGGATGGATGGACTGGGCTGCTCACAAGGTACAGCTGTTGTCATACTGTATATAGAACTATCAAGAGCCCTGCTTTATAGTGTTTCAGTTTTGTCTAGAACCAGAGCTGACTTTCAGAGTGCTTAAATTATAAGATCTCCAATTTCCTCTTCATGGTGTAATTTAACCATAAAGGTGTGTTTGGGAGACGGTCAAATTCTAGTGCTGCACTGCCACGCTCCTACGTGCAAGACCTCTCTGGCAGCCCATAACTCTTCGCACATCTTATCTAGCACCCCACCCTCCACCCCAACTTCACTGTGCTAACATCCTCCCTGCTTCATTCCTTGTAAATGAGGAGGGGGGTTGTGAATTAGTGCCACAGTAATGAGAAAACCTATTCCTTTTTATACATCGGCTTGTTTTGTTGTTAGCAAATTCGGTCTTCTGGGCACAAGGGTTTTTCAAATCCTTTCAGCCAGCTGTACATGGGAGAGAATGGAAAAAATGTTGGCATACTCCTCCAACTTGCGCACCTGGTAAAAGCCACTGGTCTTTGAGCGTATCACTGGCTACTGTATAAGAGGCTGAGTGCTAACTGGAGGAGAGGGGTGTCCCTCACCCACAGCGTTGCAAGCATGCAATTTCTCAGGAAGCCACAGAGTTT